GTAAGCTGATTTTGTAATTTTTTTTTCTGCAATAGCTGCGATCGTTAATTGCAGTAATAACAAACAAAGAAGACATTTTTTTGTTTATATGTATATCTGTTTAAAAAATCATTTAAAGTAGGATAAAAAAGATTAATTATATTGTATTAATGATGCGAACGTCTTTATACGTTTCATTGATGGAACAGCCACTGATCAAGAAATCTGAACAGGCGACATGCCTAATGTAGTTCATGCAGTGATTAACGCAATGGGTTTTCTTAAGAAATAAAGGAGAAAATATTTAGATATTTATAAATACTTTGTGGATGTAAATATATCCATATTATTATACTTTTTACAAAATATCTTAGAACGGTTGTCTTTTGTACACAAGTTAGTATACCTACCCATCACACATGCATTATAACATTTAGAAGTATGTGGGTGTTATGTATCCTATATGTCATATCAGAAATTCAGAAGTTATTATTTTTCTCATAGCTTGTCGTTTTTAAAATAAGTTGAATTCATTTGTTACTCAGTAAAAATACGAGTATTTTATATTGAAAAAGATTTCACATGCTTTTAAAATAGAAATAGTATGAAAGATTTGGGAAGAATTCAATGAATTCAATATCTTGATATGAAAATTTCATCAGAGACAGTTGATTCAGCATCTAATAATATCTGTCTTTTAAAAAAAAAAATTGTATAGCATATTTTTGAGTATCATATTTTCTCTTACAGTAGCAGTAAGTTGTTATAATTTAATTCCAATCCTTTGTATTACCTCTATATCATGTAAATGTGGTCGAAATCAAAATCCACAAATCCTTGTGCATATACATATACTGATAAAACACACTGTCATTGACTAGTAATTATTTTGTGTTCAGTTATTTCATTTGAAATTTAAGCTTTCAATAAGTTAAATCATTAGAATACATCAAGTAACGTGAAAAAAAAATTAATTTAAACTTTAGCAAAACCTAAAAACAGTTTGCAATGTTTTGTATAAGGTCTGCATGTCATTGTTTAGTCAAAGTTCATGAAAATAAAATAATACTTACATATAATGATAAAATAAATAACAACCCAGTCAAATATAGGCACCATTTTGATTTGCTCTTAAAAGTTGTCCTAATGTCTCATTAGAAAATCGTGATCATGTTATAATAAGCTGTCTATTTAATAATGATGATTATCACAGAGTTAAAGCACAGAACGACCTAAAACAATGATTGTTAGTTACGTCGTATTTAAAAAACTCAATGAAATAAGAACAACATTCAAAGGAAATTTAACAGTTTGAAATATCGACAAAAATTGACAAACCTTTAATTACCATAGAGGTCATTAAAAGGAATCCCCTCTTTGTTTTCAAAATCAATACAGAACTAAGAATTAGGACCCCAAATTATCTTTAATTGAAAGTCTAACTAAGTTGAAGTTTTCAGAATCAATTGCTATTCTAATAAATTTCAAGTGAGACACAATATACTCTTGAAATTCTTCAATAATCTATAACAATATGGTCGCGAAATATTTAACACGTTTCAATTTTTCGTACGCCTTATTGGACTATGGATATCAAATGACCAAAGTAACAATGCATAATTTTTATGAACAATTCAAAACATTAATTTCATAAATTTGATCACAGTAATCAGGAACCGAGTATTGACTTTGCTTTCTGTCAGATCATACAAAATATTTTTAAAATGTATTTTATTATATGCATTAAAGTTAATTAAATCAACTTTGCAATTCATTAAAAAGTTAATAGCAATTTCTAAATCTCACAACCCCCAAAAAAAACATAAATAAATAAATAAATAAATAAATAAATTAATTAATAAATAAATAAATAAAATTGGTCATCATCTACATGTATAAATTTCTTAAGAATTAGATATCCTTATTTTAAAAGGAAAACTTAGTTTCTGTTGTTAAAGGTTGGTTAGCTAGAAAAGAAATAAGATAGGAATCGGATTTTTTTTTCAAAATTCCATATCTTTGTACTAAATCCAAAAACGAAAGATACATGATTGTACACAAATTTGTATATGTAAACACAGTTTTTCTACATGTAGATCAATTTCATAAAATGATATTACGACGTTTGTACAATTTTATGATTATTCAAGAAATATATGCATCTCTAAAATATTGCTCTTCATTCTCCATATAACAAGTTGGAAAAGCTAAATTTAAAGCTTGAAAAAGCAAGATTAAAGTTGGAATTACTTTCTTTCTTAGTGCATGTCTTGGGAAGATTATTTAAATATTCACAATAATCACCAACGTACAGTATAAACTTTAAATTTAAGTTCCAACACAAGCATTTGAATACTTGTCTATCACAGATGTTAATTTGTGATTTAACGTTTGATGTTACACATGTTTACCACGGTATTTTCATAGCTCCCCTGATTTTATCAACTGCTTGCAAATCAAAATCCTATTGCCAAGGGTCACAAAAGGTATAAATACAAAAAAGTTGTTGCTTATTATCAAAGGAATATGGATTTGAAAGCTACTCAAATTATATGGTATAACCTGAGTTGGAACAGTTTACACTTTTACAAACCACGAAGCGAAGCGGTTTATCTAAAAAGCGTTTTACCGTAAAACTTGGGAAGCTATTAAATTCATTCATTATCATTTAATTTAACATTTAATTTTTTTAAAATTAAATGTTAATAAAAAATCATCTTAAATAATTTGATTCTGCAAAATCTAAAGCGGATTGATACGTTTTTGACTCAAGTCATTGTGATAAAATTTAAACCAATTTTTCAGCCAATCAAAAACAATTAATTAATTTTTATAATAATATTGGCATTTAAAAGTTAAATCAAAATTATGGTTTAATTATTTTGAGATTTTTTTTTTCAATACTCGTAAGAATTTGGTATTCGTTAAGGAAATGCAGAATGTTTTGTTTCTCATTATTTATTACAAAAACTGTGAATACATGTATCAATTACTACACTGAGGGTTCTCTCCATTTTCCATACTGGTTGTCGAAAATAAATATTTGTTCTTTTTCAGTTCGAACTTTCTAGGGAAAATATGAAAAATCTTAAATTACTTTAGAAAAAAAATGTTCTTATAATATAAAAAGTGGTGTAAACTTAGTTATCCTTTTATTCATATAAAACAGAATCCTGCATTTTTTCTGAAATTGAACGTTATATCTGCCTATATATAATTGAAAAAATAAATTCTTAAAGTCGTTAAAAAGCTCTTCATTCCATTTGATAAATAGTCTGTGTAATTGTCAAATTGAGTATTATTCATCTGTACCTTTAAGATATCAAACACAAAAACATACAGTCATAAGAAATCATGCGATCAAAAAAGTACCTTAATGACTACATGTAATTTACTGTATACGTAACTAGTAAACTTTATATTCTCCCAGTTTGCCTAAATTGCTTGACTATCCATATCTGCCAAAACCAATGAAAGTAAAAAAAAAATCCCTGTAAAATAACGGGAAATATTTTTCTGTGACAAATTCTAAATATTTGTTACGGTCATGTCAACATTGTAAACAATTTGTTTTTTGGCACTAAATAAATAATTAAGACTACTTTTCTGTTTGATAATAGAAATAAATCACGAGTGCCTTTTGAATAATTGTGTTATGTTTGACCACGGGCTACTCAAAGTAGACCTTAAAACATTGTCCCGTCAAAATGGTACATGTCATTTTACACTGCATGTGAGAAGAGGGGGGAGGGTGGCAGATTAACAAACCGTGACGAGATCGTTCATGCATGTCAGCAGCCAGAAAAATGTGTATCTGCACAACATGTCACAGTATAAGGTGTCCTAAAAACAATTAGCATGTAACAACGTTAACTGTTTTAGTCTACGGCATTTTCATTCGAATTTTGGACAAAGATGAAGATGTACGTACTCTTATGTGTTCTGATAGGAATAACTACCAGGAATGTGAAAGGTATATGTTTTGCTTTAACATTATTTTATTAATTTTTTTTTTGTTTACCACGATATCGATGTTTTTCCACAATTTTTTAACGTTGATGTAAGACTGTGAATTTAAGATAACATTTTCGTATAGTGCGACGACTTAATGATACATATAAAATTTCCTGCTTAAATTACTCAACTTTAATACACCCCGGTAATCTTTTTCAAAATTATTCAAATTTTAATTTACTAAAAATATAGAATCACATTCATGCATCTTTTTCAAAGGTATCTTAATGAAATTGTATTAATGTTTTACAGGTCAAATGTGCTCGGACTGTGTACATTTAGATTACACAGTGAAAGGACTTCGTACAATTTCCCGAACTTTGTTGGATTCTCTCCTCCTTGATACTTTTAATCCAGACTGTCTCCATGACAACCAGAAGCTTCACATTTCGTGTCCACGTAATGACAGTGCTGGTTTGGTGGTGAAATGTAAAAAGACCCACGTTATTGTACAGGCTAGAGGGATACAGAGGGTAGAAGCCGGTAAGCAATATCAAAGTGTATGTTGTATCAATTTTACAACCTCTACAAAAAATTGATATTTTTAGTTCAAAATTTCAAACTAAATATCATATTTTTTGTAAAGGACAATATGATGAAAGCTCCTATCTTAAACTTTCTGCCTATAACTAATTTGAAAACTTTATAAAGGAAATAAACAAATGAATGAATTCAAGTTATTTGAAAAATTGAAGACATAAATGATATTTTAAAAAGTTATTTTTTAAAGTATGATTGCATATATTTTATTCCTTGTTATTAGATGCCGAGGTGAATTTGGTAGCGGTTGAGCGACGTTGTGCTCTGGTTGATGCATCACAAGAAAACAATTGTGTCAATCACATGGAGGACAATACTGTATCCTCGTATATTTCCAAAACCCTGGCACATCTAACGGACACATGGACCACGGTCAATTATACAGGCGCCAACTGTTTTTCTGACACCCATCATGACGTCACAACAGAAGCACCAGGTAGAACGAAAAAGTATACTGCGCAATATGCCGATTTCAGAACAAAGACCAATGTAAACAAATATGCCGAATTCACAACAATGAACAATATAAACAAAGATACCGATATCACAACAGTGACCAATGTCAAAGAACCAATAACTGAAGACATATTACCTGAAAAAATAAAAGCTGTGAATTCTACCTCAAGCGTTTTACTGGAAAATGTCCAGAATTTGAGCACTACTACAAACAATTTTGTTGGAAGTACACAGATTGAAAATGTAACATTAGCATTTTCAGCAAACGATTCCATGGATCTTTCTACAGACTCAAGCAGTGACAATGATTTTGGAAGAAAACAGGAACTGAGCGAGAATGTGAGGAAATTTATCCATTATATCAGAAATTACAACGGGGCACCTGTCATGAAATGCAGCGAACTTATATTTGTGATGTCACTTTTAGCAGTATATCTTATTGATAGCTTTCTCAGAGCTTCAACAAACTGAATAAGTAGAAAAAAATACACAATTACAATGTATCATGTTTTTATTTCTCAAGTTTCTGTATTTATTAGTAATGTTTTATAATATTTTTTGTTTTACTTTTTAAATAAAAAAATATTTAAAAACCAATTTTTAGGATAAGAAAGGCATTTTTTTAGGGGTTTGAAGTTCATATTTTCTAAAATTTTCAATCTGATATCATGACATTTCCTTTCATCTAAACAGAATATAAAACTTTACAGACAAACTTGCATATATAATTTGGGGTTCGTTGTAAGTATTTTCGTCTAGTAACCATTATACATAACAGATTCGGCACGTGCTATGGATGGCGCATATATTGTATATCCATCAACGTGTCTGTAATCATAGGTTGCATCAGTTAGAGAAAAATATAGTGAAGAATCAGTTTCCCTGTGTTTAACGTGATTTCTTTGTTGTATTCTGCTTTGCTCAAAGGGTGGAGATCGAGTTGTACACTCATCTTTTGATTTGTTTCTCATATAAATGTCGTCTCTTCTTACATATTGAGGGAGAATTGCATATGGTTCGGAGTACAGAGTATGTTCTTCAAGTTTAATTTCTTTTTCTGAAAAAAAAACCCCAATTCTATAACCGATACTGGAAGGACAAGATGGCAAATTGCATGCATGTATGGCCGATCGTATGAGGCGCCGTTCTGGTATTTACTCACAACAAGTGATATCACCTATTTGAATAGGTGATATCACTTAAGGACAGACGAGACGTTCCTTAATAATAGATAAATTTTTCTAAGAGTTTGTCATTGAAGTGTTGCTACTGAAACATGTTTACTCACAAAAAATTGAGGTACCTTACCAGGCATTTCTGCAAGATATCAGGGGTAGTTTTTCTTATATAATCCTTTGGGGAAGAAAAATAATTTTCCAATTTCAAATGTTTAAGTGTTTGGATTTTTTTAAAAACGTCTAGAAACTGGTTTAGAAATCAGAATTTTGAAATTTTTGAATATTTTTCATACATTACGAAGATATACAAAACAGATTTTGAGGAACGTCTTGTCTGACCTTAATCTAATTAAAATCAGACTTCTTAGATCCGCGCCGTATTCACTCTTACGAATTCCTATTCGAATTGGTGATATCACCTATTGGGTATGAATAGGTGATATCACCTATTCGAATAGGTATTTTCACCTATTCGTACTGAATAGATGATATCACCTATTCGAATAAGTGATATCACCTATTCAATTTGAATTGGTGATATATCACCAATTCGAATAGGTGATATCACCTATTTGAATTTGTTATAACAATAAATAATGGATGTTCCCTATAACATAAAGATTACCACTGGAACCAAGAAAATTCGGACTACCCAGTTTTCCTGCGTTTTTCTAGAATTTTCTTACAGTATACATAATAGATATGTGAGATAAAATAATTTGTGAAACAAACTACAATTTCAATTTGGGTTGCTTAAAATTAAATGCAAAACTGTTATCCATTGTCTCCTAGAATGGTGAATTGTAAAACGATAGTGAAAGAAGATTATGGAGATAACAAACTGTATTCAATATCAAAGACCATAAAACAATACAAAATAGGAGCAGAGCAAACACAGACCTCCGAAACATCAGAGGTGGGATCAGGTACCATGAAGGAGTGAACATTCCCTGCCGAACGGTCACACCCGTCGTGTAATCCTTGTCATGGTTGGAAAAAATGTTAAATTTTATTTGCTGACAAGGTCATTGTATCGACCATAGAACTTAGGAAATGATGACTTTAAACGAGACTGCTGATATTCTTGTTTCATCAACTTGCTTGTCGATAATTGACCTCGTTTTAGCAATTGTTCATACGTAGAGCATGCTCTTGCGTATCGAATCAACTGAGATATATACACTCCGTATGCAAGTGGTGAAGGTATATTGCTGCATAAGTAAGGAAAGTTGACGATAGAAAAGTTACGGCTCAACGCACTTTTTAAGCTCACATGGATTTTCGCACAAACTAAGGTCACATTGTTATGATATAATATTGTGTATCGAGACAACAAAATACATTTTAAAAGTATTTGTTTACATAATTTGAGTTTTATACGCATTTACTAAACATAGTTCACACAAATCAATTGGTAGAACTTTGATATATTCATGGCTGAAAAATAACAACTATTCTCATTTAAATTTTTGTAGTTTCTTGCCAATTGTAACTGTCTTTTTATCTGTACTTTTGAAAGCAATAGCTCTTGGCAGAAACGTAGACATGGGTACAATACAGCAACTGTAACTTGTATTTTCTGTACATTTTTGACTCTTTAACTCGGGATGGTAATAGTATTTTTCATCTGTTTGACTGCTTTCAATGTTAATAAGGTGGGATTTTTAAGAGTCAACTTCTAAAATCTAGAATCATGAAAGATTCATCCCACTGCAAAATTTTAACGTTTCAATTCGTAAATGCAGAAGAATTTTCCTTTTCATAGAAGGAATTTACTATTCAAAAAAAAAAAAAAACACTTCATTATTCTACCCTTTAGTGTGGTTTCCTTTTGCAATAGTATCCCTTTTCGGCGCTACATGTCGACGAAACCAAGAGGAGTATTGTAAGTGAGCAAACATTTTTAAAAAATAATTACCTTTAAGAAGAAAATTTAAAAATTTCAACTACATGGGATCAAGGAAAGCTTGTTTTATACAATTTGTGTAAACCTGTGGTAGAATCGTATAGTCGAAACATACTTCCATTTATTTATATTTTTTTCGTTTAAAACATCCACTTTGGAAACTTAAGACAATAATTTTAAAAGACATTTATGCTTGACATTATATATGTAATATAACGAAGGGTTATGCCATTGTACTACAGTTCGAAAATGGTAATTTTTATTACAACAAAGTGACCTTAATTTGTGCGAAAAACCATTTGAGCTTAAAAAGTGCGTTGAGCTGTAAAGTCATCACGTTTATCATATAGCTCAGTAGTTAGATTACCATTAACATGTTTTAAAAGTAAAATTTCCAAGTATGAAACAGATGTTTCAGACTCGGTGGTATCTTTTATCTCAAGCTAACCAGGATATATCGTATAGACGTAGGAATGGAAATTACCATTGTTAATAAGCATTGTAAATAAGATTTAATGACCCATAGTCTTGGGAGCTGTTGTTATTTTATAATTAATTTAAATAGGTGATATCAACTATTTGAATAAGTGACATCACCTATTCAAAATGATATGATGATATCACCTTTTCGAATAAGTGATAACGCCTACTTAATTTGAATTGGTGATATCACTTATTCGAATGATTGATAACACCTATTCGAAAGGAATAGGTGATAACACCTATTCGAATTAGTGGTATCACCTATTCTAATAAGTGATGTCACCTTTTCGAATACGTGATATCACCAATTCAAATCAAATAGGTGATATTACCTATTCAAAGTCTGAATAGGTGATATCACTTATTCGAATAGGTGATATCACTTTTATTGGCAGTAAATACCAAAACGGCGCCTCATATGATCGAATCTTTTAACTTTGTCATTATCATGCCTTATTATTGTTATCTTCATCTCTATGAAAACATATATGGAACTGTATCCATTTGTTTTACTATCTAGAAATTTTACCTGCTTTTGCGATTTCCTCGGCAATATCATCATAGTTCTTTTTTCCCAATACACTTAAAAATATATTGAACCAGTTTTCGTGGAGTCTCCATATTGAATCCATCAGTTTATATGTTGCAATACTGTTTCCGTGTAGTTTTTCCTCGGCTTTTATACTCTGGCATCGGGTTTCACTTATCACACCCTCACTGACTAGATCTGGACATACCTCGTTTACATCAACACGGTAGTAAATCAAGTAACATAATCTTTGGATGCACTTTATTTGTTTCTCATGATTGGCTTCTTGTTGACTGACTAATTTTCCATTGATCTTTTTTGTTACAAAGTCATAGCCTGAGGAAAATATAAATTATCGAAAGCATTTTTTAATTATTTCGATATGATAATCATGTATACATAAAGATTCAAGTTGAACAGGTCTGGACGATTTCCAAATGTGGAAGTCAAGGACGATAACCGTAATTGCTATAAATACACAAAATAAACAAAGTGCTAATCCTTTTGACCAATCAGATAACGGCATTTAGACAAACCCATGAGAAAATAAAGAAAACACGAGGTTTTTAAGTTTTCTGCCCAAAAGATTTTTTTAAAACATACTTTTTGTAAATTTTATGCACAATTAGAAATTGTATAGTATATATAACAATTTTACCGTGAACAAACACGACTTAAAAGCTAAAAATAAATTCTTAGTCGGATTAAAATTCTGTCACTTCGAGGTAACATCTCCGAAGTTAAGCTTGTATTAAGAAATTTGATATAAAAACGGCAGATTTTCAATTTTTAGAGCCTGGCGTGAAAATGATTTCGTATGGAAACATAACAGTCTTACATTTAATTATATCTCGAGTGTTTATAAATGTGTGCAGTTTCTGGTATCCGAGGCAAGGTATCATAACGGTGATAACAAGCATTCATGTACATGTACATTCCTTTTATTAACGATTTATACCTTTTCTGTACATGTATGTCCATTTAAAATGAATTCAGTGCTCATGAAACCCGTGTTATTTTAACACTACATGTAGAGAATATACTTGTGTGCAGTAGATCTACATACATGTATACGCGTGGAAAGTACGCGTTGTCCATGAAAATCGGACGGCTAAGCAAAACTAAATTTACCAGTATTTAGCATGTTGATCTGTTGTAGTAAATGTCATAATTGTACTTGTTGGTGTGAGCTTTTCCTTCGTAAACCATCGCATTGTTACATGTATTTTTTTTTTTATTTTTCGAGATGAAAATGTCAAGTTTGTTGACGGTAAATATGTTGGGAATACCTTATTCTTCCAAACTTTTCATCTTTCTTCTGAAGATTTTTTGTCAAAAAATCTTTTTGACGACAAAACAAAAGCACGTGTTATCT